AACTGGCTGATTAACTGGCAGAGGCATTGCCTGTGTTGTGAGTAGTCATTATGGTGCTGAAGTCGTCCAAACACGGAGTTTACTCCGGCAATACCCTGCGGGTGTCCAGCTCGCGTTATAACAGACAGTACCGCACTCACAGTTCAATAGTGAGGCGATATGTCGGGGGAACGGAGAAGAAAACTCCAAATTGAAAAGCTGATTGAGAACTTCGATGTTCCAGGTTTCGATGTTGAATTCTCGCTCAACAAAAGAGAGAGATGGGTTTTGCCTGAAGTCATCAGAAAATACATCCAGTCCCGAGAGTCGCCTGAAGACACTACAAAAACAGATTTATTTGTGAGGCACAAGCTCAAACGACAATCTAACTGCATAGCTTACTACGCTGATAAAGGACATATAAAACGACTTGTTCCGAAAGCAGGACGATATTTTAGTGGGAAGGCGGTAACAAATTTCAAAACACGTCCAAAACAAGCGAAGAGAGATAAGAAGACAGTTACCGACATTGAGGAAACACTTCAACCCGGTACTGATGAATCAATAGTAAGATATGAGATATTCTGTCCGTGTTCCTCCAGAAGCTCAATTGTCCATAACCCGAAGTATATCAAACCAGAGGCTAGAGACAGTGTCGGCGCTCTGTGAATGGAGGAAGGAAGAAGAAGCGACGATCTCGTCTAACTAGGCGAGATGTGAACGAGATGTTAGATGACAGTTGCGAGGACTTTGATGTTCAGAGCGCAGACGACTCTGACACTGGAGACGTGACATCTAGTGGAAACTTTACACTGAGAGACTTCGTCAAAGTTGAACGTAAAATGAAGCGAAAATCTCGCACGCGACGACCTAGCCAAGACGATGACAGTGAATGCAAGAGAGGTCGCATTGTGTTTGTTGAAGAAAATGTGTCGTCTGATCGCTCAATGACAGTGGAAGATGAACAGTATTCGCAGAGCGAGAATTCCCCTTCTGTCTGCCTCAAGGACCCAACAATTGTTATTCCCGTAGCCGTCAAAGTTGATATAAATGAGGCTGCCTTTGATAACCTGCAAACTGTGTACGGTCGGCGTTATATCGAGGCAAAATGTGAACCCCGCAAGTTTAGTATTGATATGACTGACAAACTTAGAGATCATGTTAGAACGTCGAAATTCTTTAGGGACGTGACGTCATCATCGATGGATCTCCATGGTTACCTATCGTTTACTGAGGCTGAAGAATGTACAGACGATGCCTCTCTAAGAATCTACAAAGTTGCCCTGAACATTGCCTCTCATACGAACTCTATCAAGCTGGACACAGTTGTGGAGATGGAGACCTACACACTGGAACAGCTCGAGGACAAGTGCCTCTCATACATCGATTCTCTCCCTAGGCATGTGTTCGTGAAGCGTGACGCCCTCAACTTCCTAGAGAAGCCCTTCATGACGTTTCAGCTTGTGAATGAGGGGAGGAAGTGGAACATGAATTGTCTCCACCCACACGAGTTCTCTGACAACGTCTACAGTCTACAAGGGACCTACAGAGAAGCTGCAGAGGCTGCCTGCCCCACCGATGTGTGCGGTATCTGCTATGACGACATTAGGGTTTCCACTGAAAGGAATCGACACACGTTCCCCTGCAACGAGCCTTGACGCCTGTGGACACTGGTTCTGTGATAGATGTTGGAGACAACATTTGGTCAACAAACTGCGATCTGGGTCTTCTGCCTTCACGTGCCCTGAATATGGATGCAGTGTAGAGGCAGACTTCCCCACTCTTCTTTCCTTCCTGCACATCAGCGACATCAAGAAACATACCGAGAGGCAGATGAGTGAGAAGATCAACTGCTCCGCTCAGGCTAAGTGGTGTCCTAAACCTCAATGTGGACGGGCCATTGTAGCAGAAGGACCTCCCATCAGGAACAGAATTATTCCTGTAGTGTGTTCCTGTGGAACAGATCTGTGTTTTACCTGCATGAAGAACGCCCACTGGCCTGCCACATGTGCCCAAGCTAAGGCATTCCGTGAGAAGGTGATTGCATTGAAGGACTTTGTCACTCTTGCCAAAGACACCTTCCTTGATCTATTTCCTGATGTGCTGTCTGTACGAGGTAAGATGTGCCCAAAGTGCAGCCGATTCATCGAGAAAATATCTGGATGTCCTAACATGACTTGTCCCTGTGGGGCTAAATTCTGCTGGAAATGTACCAGACTCACTCATGGCTGCCATTTCTGTGTTGTTGAAGAAGAGAGAGATTTTCTTATAGAAGAATATGCCATTGACTGTCACTCGTTCGAAAGGACACAGTTCTACAACACTGCATTGGATCATCGCCAGCAGCGATTGAATGTGAACATCCAGAAATATCTCGGCCGGGAGCGCACCCTAACCAAACGTCTAACGGCTGAAATATCTGTGAATGATAAACTAAGAACCCGAATCTGTGATGACGCTAAAACAATTGATGACCAATTATCGGACAGATTAGCTTTTGACTTCATGAGGCGCATGCTCAGTATGAAACTCGAACTTCATCACGTGATTGAAAACGTTGCCATAGCAATGGATTACATGTCTGTGGGAGGTCTCCGCAAAAAGCTCATGCAACTCCTGACAAGAATGGAGTCTTGCGTAGCCACCATTGAGGACACTTTCGACAAAGGAGTTGAGCTGTCCAACTCCGAGCTGGTGGGAATATGGTGATTTGCCAGAAGGAAGCTCGTGTGTGTATTGCCCGTGTCGCTCAGTTAATGAATTGATATGTCTTGAGAAATCTTCATCTTGACAGATCTGTCAAATCTCTTCGTATGGAAGTGTGTGTGAGTGTGTGTGTGTGAATATTGAACTATGACCCTGAACACCAGTGACACTCACATTGATTGATATGATACAATTGTACTGTCGTCTCCGTACAGTCCATACTGTCAATCGTGATATAAGGTTTTTACATTTTGTATTTCTTCTATGTACAAAATATCATTATCTCCTGATGAAAATAAGGATTAAAGAATCATTGTGAGTTTTAACCTCGGCAATGAGTAAAAAAAAAGTCTAATTAAAACATAAATCTTGAATTAGTTTTGATTTTGTTCTTGTGAGAAACGCCTGTAGTTAATACCACAGGTTTTACACACACATTATTGTTCCTCGGACATGCTCCGTGATTGGGTGAATACAATGGAAGGTCAGAAATGCGATTCCCGGCCACTCCATACCAAAAGACGTTAAAAGATGGGACTTATTGTTTCCCTGCCTTGTGGTCAGAGATATAACATGGACTGGTCCGCTCCGAGTCTTTCTCCATGTAACATTGTGGCATACTATCTAAATGGGCATTCAGTCTGCTTGATGTGATGGCCGAGACTAAAATGCTGAACGATTACATAATCCTTTTACTCTCGTCTCCATGTATTGAAACAATGAATCTTGACACACGGTTTTTACGTCTTGTATTTCTTCTATTTACAAAAGATCATTATCTCGTGATCAAAACAAGGATCACCGAAACATTGTGAGTATTAACTTCGGTGATCGTCGATTGGTTTCTATTTTGTTCTTGTGAGAAACACCTGTAATTTCCACAGGTTTTACACACACATTTTTGTCCATTGACATGCTCTATGATTGGGTGAATACAATGGAAGGTCAGAAATGCGATTCCCGGCCACTTTATACCAAAAGACGTTAAAAGATGGGACTTATTGTTTCCCTGCCTTGTGGTCAGAGATAAAACATGGACTGGTCTGCTCCGAGTCTTTCTCCATGCAACATCGTGGCATAGTAGCTAAATGTGCGAGCAGTACAGGCCGGTTTAAGTCTGAACTAGCTAGTACTGACGGACAGACGGACGGAGGGGAGCGACATCTTACTTGGCGGGCTCTTCTCTTATGCACCAGTGGATGTGAAACCCATGTATAATTACTGGTATCTGAGATGGAATTCCAGGTTTGTGATTGGCTACTCCGTGGTTTAACAACATAATATTTGGTCGATGTTCTACCATTACACATTTATTGACAAAACATGGTAACAGGAGACTGAACGCGACACACCTTAATGGCATGGTGGTGTACCAACTCAGTTATCTCCGTGCAGATAACTATGGGGCTTTACCAGCATCTACGTTGACACAAACAAGGCAGCGGCGGCACTAGATAGTTGGGAACAGCCCGGATGTTGTTCCAAAAAGCCCTTCAAAGACTGACCCAACTGAGCTAGACTTACCAGCTCGTTCTGTTCCTGTCGCCGGCTGTTAGTGTCTGCAGATCTACTGTCAACATCTACTGACTGTAATCTACTGACTGTCCGTTACAGTCAACATCTATCTTCTACAAAGTCAATCCTGACGTACACTAGAGGGTATACACCTGTTTGGGGGGAATGTTTAAACAAAAATCACAAACAGTACACATAGCAATCCAGTGAATGAATACATACGTCCACGACAACCAGCTAAACCGAGAATCAGAGGATCACTATAAGTGATCCATGTCCAGTCTTGTTCAAGTATTGAAGACTATGTCTTTAAACAGCATTCATCTAACACGCCCCACCTGCTCACCTGTATCTGATTAATATGGAGGTTTCCGTACAAAATATTGAATATTTCTCATTGGTTCGTCCTGGATAGCAAGAAAAACTCTGCACTGACATCATTCTCTTTAACTGTCTTTTAAATACCTCTGTAGATGTCAGTAGTAGACAGTTTCATATAGCTATGTGTCTTGAAAACTGCTTTTCAGAATGTTTTTGCCCAGTTTGTTATATTTTGTAATTGAAAATACAAAACAGTTATTGATGCGCTGACCTTGATTGATGCATGTCATCGTGTCCAAGTTGAGTACATCGATGCTCATGATGTCAGTCACTGGATTGTCTGGTTCAGACTCGATTATTTACAGACCGTCGCCCTATAGCTGAAATAGATTGCTGGTGTGTGCGGGCATGAAACACAAATAAACAAACAAACAAACAACACAAACAGAGCTGGATATACTTAGTTTGTTAAAACTTACCTTAAATACTTGTCTAAATCCAGGACAGTGGGGATACCAAACATACAGCTCATGCGATTCGACCCTACACCCTTAATGTTAACATATAATTATATTAGATATATGTATTAGATCTACATGTATATCAGATATTTGGAATGTGACACTTATTTCCTTAGATAATGGCATGTTGAAATAACACAGGAGTTATGGTGGCTGAGAAGGGCTGTCGCTGCGTTGACACCACACGGCATGGCGATAAAACAAGACCACAGTGCGATAAGGTCATTCGACGATATAAGACCACACAATGTAGCCACATTGCGACAGTGTTCAGTCACCACCATCAGGTCAGGGGTTAACTTTGGTGGCTGATTCGGCCCGAATCAGCCACCATAGTTAACGGATAGATTCATACTTCAAGAAAGTTTGTATTTTTTTAAATCCGGATTTGCTTTTTACGTGAAGTACAAGTGACGTGTACTGTGACGTCATCAACATGGAACCATGCAAATGTAAACAAAGTGAAGCGACTGCTACTCATATGGGAACCCTGTTTGGCGTGAGAAGCAAACACTTTAACCACTAGGCTACCTCCACCGAGCTCCAAATGTCTCAAGGCATGATTTGCAACACACGTGGTCTCACCTTAGGGAAGTGGCGTTTTTCAAAATAGCCTCGGTTCATCCAGCAGTGAATGGGTACCCGATGGGATGAGATGGCCAGATGACTGGTAACCTTATAGTGTCACACAAGCAGCTTAGGTAATACTGTATTCTGTATGGACACAAACACATTATTTCTATTATTATCAATTTAGGATTGTATATATTTTCCTTGGAAAAGTAATGGGAAAACCTCCAAATACGATTCTCTTGTTGGGAGGGATGGGAGGGTCACCAAATATATACAAGGTCATAAAAAGCAGTACTCATGTTTTGTTAGCACCATGTATAGAATACACAAGCACACTGGGACATTGGGAGGGTCATCCCTGACTTGTACAAACTACTGCTGCCAGTTCACTAGTGCATCAAACATCTGTATTCTAATTATTAGTGTCCACTAAACATCCTGGATGTCTTGATGGCAAAGTGTCCAGAGAAAATTAGAGTGGTTTAATGAAGTATGTGCACGTGGTTTCAATTAAACATGTACCAGCACCCACGACCATACCCCTGCACACATACTTTCAGAATTTTATTGGTTCGCCGATCTACACAATAGGGATAACTCATAGGGATTACTACACGAGTGAGTGAGGGTGTGGATGTGTCTGTCTGTGGGGTGAGTCATATATTTTTACACACCACAAGTTTGCAACACTTTAAGGTCGAATACATTCATATTTTACATCTCACCATTAAAGCACATTACATGGTTACTGATCACTACTTAAGACTGACTGACTGAGTTTGGCTTTACGCCGCTTTTAGCAATATTCCAGCAATATCACGGCGGGGGACACCAGAAATGGGCTTCACACATTGTACCCATGTGGGGATTCGAACCCGGGTCTTCGACGTGACGAGCCAACGCTTTAACCACTAGGCTTCCCCACTACTTCAGAAATAAAGTTCGCTTTAACATCATGTATAGTGTAATTCAGCACGCTTTCCCCCTGAGACGCTTGCGTCCGACAACGAGGCGATGACAACTGATATGCATCGTAACGTCGGTTACCAAGGGTACGTTCGATTACAAGGGGGCAGACTGGAATAAAGCAGTGACACCAATACATTGTGACGTAATTCAAAAAGTGTACATTATCGTCCCAAAAGTACTGTTGCTGCCTTTGATCTTTAAACTAATCCATAAAAGAGTTTCTCCCCAAGGCCATTATAATGGTAATAATTATGTAAGAATATGTTTTTCACAAATCATCATTATCAACAATATTATTATTGTTTAAAACAGGTCACCAACTTTTAATAACAGCAACTTGTGTCCTCTTCAGTAATGTTGATTCTTGTTGCCATCAAACAGAAATAGAGATATCGTTCTTGTTTGAAGTAGTTCTAATGTTCAAACGCCAATATGAAAATTCAATCCTTCCAGACAGGTAAGTGTCGGTATTAGGTTTGTCCCGGGATAACACGAGTGGGTCACGAATGTGTGGCGTTAAAAACAAACTAAACAGGCCTTGCCTTAAGACAAGTATCGACGCGCATGAAGACTAATATTATACCACGTACGCCGCTAGATCTACCAACGTTTGAAACTGAGGCTATGTTGTATTCGGGCGAGGTGACTCCGTTCTTGACCCCCATGTCACTGTCACAATATCCACCAAGTAACATATGTCATATTTGTGATTAGTAAAGTACCAATTCTAGCTAGTACCTTTGTTGGGTTGAGTCCCATCCGGGATTCGAACCCACACACTGTACTTTACTAAGAAAGTGTAATCCCAAATATAACATGTTACATTTGACCACTTTCTAAATGGCACTGTGTAATCACAATGTAACTATTTAGATGTATGAAATTATTCTTGAAAGCGTCTGCTAGAGAAATATAACACCCGATGAAGGGGCAAAAACATATGCAACGTGTGTAAATAATAAAGAAGTTGCACATCCATACCAAGTGTCTTGTGTTAATATGACATCTACCTAATAAAGAAGTTACACATCCATACCAAGAGTCTTGTGTTAATATGACATCTACCTAATAAAGAAGTTGCACATCCATACCAAGTGTCTTGTGTTACTATGACATCTACCGAATCAAGAAGTTGCACATCCATACCAAGTGTCTTGTGTTACTATGACATCTACCGAATCAAGAAGTTGCACATCCATACCAAGTGTCTTGTGTTAACATGACATCTACCTAATAAAGAAGTTGCACATCCATACCAAGTGTCTTGTGTTACTATGACATCTACCGAATCAAGAAGTTGCACATCCATACCAAGTGTCTTGTGTTAACATGACATCTACCTAATAAAGAAGTTGCACATCCATACCAAGTGTCTTGTGTTAATATGACATCTACCGAATCAAGAAGTTGCACATCCATACCAAGTGTCTTGTGTTACTATGACATCTACCTAATAAAGAAGTTGCACATCCATACCAAGTGTCTTGTGTTAATATGACATCTACCTAATAAAGAAGTTGCACATCCATACCAAGTGTCTTGTGTTACTATGACATCTACCGAATCAAGAAGTTGCACATCCATACCAAGTGTCTTGTGTTAACATGACATCTACCTAATAAAGAAGTTGCACATCCATACCAAGTGTCTTGTGTTAATATGACATCTACCGAATCAAGAAGTTGCACATCCATACCAAGTGTCTTGTGTTAATATGACATCTACCTAATAAAGAAGTTGCACATCCATACCAAGCGTCTTGTGTTAACATGACATCTACCTAATAAAGAAGTTGCACATCCATACCAAGTGTCTTGTGTTACTATGACATCTACCTAATATTATTAAGATACCTCTCGCTCGGGCAGCACACAATTTCACACTCGTTTCGTATAAATCGTATGACACATTTGCTAGTGTAATTATCTCTTTTTTATCCATTATATATATATATTTGTGCAGTAAAACACGGAAGTAAGTGTGACTGCCCTGTTCATTGACGTCACGTTCAATTGTTTAATGACGTCACAGACGTCGAAATACAGAAACAATGCTTACGAGGAAAAAGTGATATGTGCACATGTGCACATATGATATATAGAGGATATTATATGAGTGCCCATGTCATACTATGTTTACGACACGAGTGCCTAAATGTTGGTATTTCCCGAGCGAGAGCGAGGGATATACCGATATTAAGGCACGAGTGTTCATGTTCATGACGTCACGTCACCATGACAAAGTGATATTTTGCCCTAGGGCATCGTATGAAAAATATGAACCCCGATATTTTAGCCCTTTAATAAATATGACAATGCTTTAAACTTACGTTTCACTATATGGATAATAAAAACGGTTAGTCTGCATTGTTCCAACAAATATATCCAGTATACCTGGAGCAGTATACACACACTCACATACGCAAATACAAAGAGTTCTAAAAATAGGCACAGTGCCAAGAACCACGTTAATATATCAACACCAAGTCGTACACGCAAACGGAGCAATTACAGCACGTTCTGAAAATAGCCCGCTCAGCGTATTGCACAACGAGAAGAAAACAATCACCCCCGAATACTATATAACAGACCACATCAACTGGCTGATTAACTGACAGAGGCCTTGCCTGTGTTGTGAATAGTCATTATGGTGCTGAAGTCGTCCGGCAAACGCGGAGTTTCAATCGGGTTATAACAGACGCTACCGCACTTTCAATTCAATAGTGATAACAGACAGGGACCGCGGAGAAGAAAACACCAAATTGAAAAGCTGATTGAGAACTTCGATGTTCCAGGTTTTGATGTTGAATTCTCGCTCAACAAAAGAGAGAGATGGGTTTTGCCTGAAGTCATCAGAAAATACATCCAGTCCCGAGAGTCGCCTGAAGACACTACAAAAACAGATTTATTTCTGAGGCACAAGCTCAAACGACAATCTAACTGCATAGCTTACTACGCTGATAAAGGACATATAAAGCGACTTGTTCCGAAAGCAGGACGATATTTTAGTGGGAAGGCGGTAACAAATTTCAAAACACGTCCAAAACAAGCAAAGAGAGATAAGAAGACAGTTACCGACACTGAGGAAACACTTCAACCTGGTACTGATGAATCAACAGTGAGATATGAGATATTCTGTCCGTGTTCCCCCAGAAGCTCAATTTTCCATAACCCGAAGTACATCAAACCAGAGGCTAGAGACAGTGTCAGCGCCTCTGTGAATGGAGGGAGGAAGAAGAAGCGACGATCTCGTCTAACTAGGCGAGATGTGAACGAGATGTTAGATGACAGTTGCAAGGACTTTGATGATCAGAGCGCAGACGACTCTGACACTGGAGGCGAGATATCTAGTGGAAACTTTACACTAAGAGACTTCGTCAAAGTTGAACGTAAAATGAAGCGAAAATGTCGCACGCGACGACCTAGCCAAAACGACGACAGTGAACGTAAGAGAGGTCGCATTGTGTTTGTTGATAAAGATGTGTCGTCTGCTGGCTCAGTGACA